TTAAAAAAGGATCATTCTGGCTGTTGTGCGAAAAGTGAATTTTGGGGGAGGGGAGACAAGAGAGGATTCAAGGACATGGATTAAGTTTGCTGTAGTTGACAGAGTAAGAGAAACCATAGTAGTTGGACAAGACTGATGGTGGGAGAAATGGAAAGTAGTAGATTAACTTGAGAATATATGTTGACGAGTTGTAAAATCAACCAGACTTTGTAAAGGACTGGATGTGGAGGGTGGGGTAAGAAAGGAAAATTTGTAATAGAAGATTCATGCTTCTGGTTTCAGTACCTGGATAAATGGTAACAATATTCTTTGGATAGGAAACATTGGAAGAAGAGGAAACTGTTGCAAGTTAGATTCTGGACACATTGAATTTAAACTGCCTCTGAGATATGCAAGTATGTACATCAGTTAGGAGGCTGGACATAGGCGGCTGGAGCTCAGAGAAGAGGCCTGGCCCAAAGATGGACCTTGGGATATGAAGTCTTGGGAGTCAATGGTAAGAATGGAGGACTGGGACCTCGTGTTGAGGAATTCAAGCAATGAAGCTTTAAACAAAATAATACCTTTTAAAAGAAAAAAACCCACGAAAGTTCTAAAAAATAATAGCAGTGTTCATAATAAACACAAGTTTGGAAGATTTCCTAGAAGCCAGAAAGCAGATAGCACTGGAAAATCTGTGAAAGAGAAAAGGAACAGGGTAAACGAGGGTAAAAAATTCACAGGGTAAGTGGGCTTTTTTTCAGAATGAGCCTGGCAACAACTCCAGATGAAATGAATGTATACAAAGAGAAGGTGTGTCTTATGGGCAACCAATGACCAGGTTTTCGCCAAGGAACCTCAGTTTGGACATTTTCATCTGTTTGGGCCACCACCTCTGCTCAAAGGTTAAGGCTGTGATCTAGTCTGGAAAGAAAGCTTGACTTGGGGTGCCTGGGTGGCTCAGTCATTAAGCGCCTGCCTTCAGCTCAGGTCATGATCTCAGGGTCCTGGGATCGAGCCCCACATCGGGCTCCCTGCTCAGCGTGAGCCTGCTTCTCTCTCGGCCCCTGCCCCTCCCCCTGCTTATTTTCTCTCTTTCTCTCTCTCAAATAAACAAAATCATATATATATACATATACATATGTGTGTGTGTGTGTATATATATATGTGTGTGTGTGTATATATATGTGTGTGTATATATATATATATTTAAAAAAGAAAGCCCGACTTTACAAATGGCACTGGGGCCTCCACAGCAGACAAAGAGGGATTACAAGCAGAAACAGAAGCTCCACCCAAGAGGAAAACACATGAGAACATTTTGCTCCCATAGAAACCTCTCCGAGAGTGCCTGCTGCATCCGGGAGTGGCGTTCTCCAGGATGCTCCACATAGACATCTGCAGAGAAGCCACTTACGGGACCTATAAGGGAGCAACCCATTAATGAAATGGGCCTGCAAGATTTAAGAGAAACCCCAAGTACTACCTAAGTTAACCACCATACTCTTCATTCATAAAGAAGAACAGACAACCTAGGATCACTAAGAACTTAAGGAAAACCAGCAAGTGAGAGAGGGACCAAGATAAACAAACAGAATTAACTCCAGAAAAATACATAATTTAGGGAACAAAAGGAGCTTTTGAAAACTTCCAGTCAATGTCTTTAGAAAGATTTGAGAAAATACTGCCTCTGTAAAAACAAACGAAAAGGGTAGGATGAAAAAAGAGGGAGAAGATGAAGACCAAATTGTTACAAATTAAAAACATGATTGTGAAAAATAATTAGTGGACAGGTTGGAAAATAAGATAGATATAGCTTAAAAGGAAACTGTGTTATACAATGGAATATTATTCAGCCCTAAAGAAGAAGGAAATCTTGCCATTGGCAGCAACATGGATGGAGCTAGAGAGTATTCTGCTAAATGAAATAGGTCAGTCTGAGAAAGACACATATCATATGATTTCACTCATGTTTGGCATTTAAGAAACAAAACAAACAAGCAAAGGAGGATATAAAGAACGAGAGGCAAACCAAGAAACAGACTCACAACTATAGACAACAAGCTGGTGGTTACCAGAGGGGAGGGGGGTGGGAGGATGGGTGAAATAGGGGATGGGGATGAAGGAGGGCACTTGTCCTGACGAGTACCGGGTGACATATGGAAGTGCTGAATCACTATATTGCACACCTGAAACTAATATACTGTATGTCACCTCACTGGAATTTAAATAAAAACTTAAAAAACAAAGTAAACTATGTTTTTCTACTCTACTCAATACTTCTTCAAACAAATTTTAAGGGCAAAGTAAAGCTTTTTTTCCAACGTGAAAGAACTCAGAAATTCTGTTTACAAACATGGATACATTGTGTGGAAAGAGTTATCAAGGTGGATTCCAGCACCATGCAAAATGAATTGAAGAAAGAAGATGGAATGGTGTTCAGAAGACATTGGCAGCTGAGTGAGATTCAGAGGGTGGAAAGTAAAAGGATGGAAAATTCACTTGCAAAGTTTTACTAACAGAGGACCTCCAGATCATTTATTATGTAGTCAAATTTACCACTTGGTTCTTTAGAGCATACCATTTACACAATCATAATGTTGCCAATGCTGATTGTTGGTTTTTAGTGTTCAGAAACAACCTACAGAAAATTATGAGAGACTTCATTGTTTTACAGAAGAGTATGGAAGTATTATGAATCTCAACATTGTAAAAGTATTTCATTAACTAAAACAATTAGGAGCTTGTGAGAAGGACGGATAGAAGGAAGTATGCTAATTTCCTCACCTGTCATTCGTCTTAAGTCTAGAATTGATAAACCATGTCAGAGAGGTTTTAGTGAATAATTTAAATTTAGAATAACTAACAAGAACTAAAAATAGAAACGGTCATTCATAGGTCCTGCTCTTCGGTGAAACTGGTGTGTGTGATGGATGGAGGAAACTTTTTTACTCATTTAATACAAGTTTCTATTTTTTCTTTAACAGTAGGCGTATCTTCTAACCTCTCTGTTGGCTTTTATAATTTTTCTCTTTATCTTTATCATATTAATGAATATATTCATTTTTATTCCTTCTGCTTGAAATACTATGTGCTTTTTTAAAAATCTTGAGAGCTACTGTCTTTTTTTTGGTTCTGGACAATTCTCTGCCATTATGTCTTTTCTGTTTTGCTTCTCCCTGGCCTCATACTTCTCTCATAATAAGAGGGCAAGTGGAGTATGTTAGACTTCTTGTTCTTGCTTCCCCACCATGTCTCTTAACTTCATATTTGTCTTTCTTTACCTATTTGTGATACAATTGAGTGATTTCCATGGATCTATCTTTCAGTTTCATGACTCTCCCTTCAGCTGAGTTCTCTTTATTTCAATGACTATTTTTTTTTAATTTTTAAAATTCCTTTTTTGGCTCTTTTTCAAACCAGCCTGATCATCTTTTATAATGTTCTTATTTTATGGATGTTAGCTCTTATTTTGAATCTTCCTATTAGTTTTTATTATATAGTTTTAAAGTCCCTTTTAGATTGCTTTGCTAGCTCTAGTTACTCAGGTATGAAGCTTCTTTCTCATGCTCCTGACACTCATCCTGAGTTTCCACGTGTGTTCTGTGGCTTTTGTCCTTGGGGTCGTGACCTCAGCAAGTGTGAGTTGCCTTCCACAGATGTGCTGCCTGGGCGCTGGATTGCGAAGGCATTGCCATGTGGTTTTATATTTGTCAGGGGACTTTTGGATTTCCTGAGTTCTGGAGCAATTGTTATGTTAGTTTCTGTGCTTGGGATATTCTTACCAAATGGACTGTGCATATTCAGAACCACACCTTCCAAGAGTGAGAGTACTTCTACCACTCTAACAGTTCAACAAGAATTGTATCAACAGCATATGATGGATTCACAGCTTTTTTTTTTTTAAACCCAATGCCAGTCCACCCCTTTTCATGTTATAGTTGAAGAAAATGAGGTTAAAAAAAAAAAAAAGGTGCCTGGATGGCTCAGTCGGTTAAGCGTCTGCCTTCAGCTCAGGTCATGATCCCAGGGTCCTGGGATCAATCCCCACATGGGGGGGGGTCCCTGCTCAGCGGGGAGCCTGCTTCTCCCCCTCCCTCTGCTCCTCCTCCTGCTCATGCACACATGCACTCTTTCTCGCGCTCTCTCTCAAAAATAAATAAAATCTTAAAAAAAGGTTAACTTGTGCTGGGATCCAATGAATTAAAGGCAGAGCAGAACCTAAAAGCTCAGTCTCTTTGCTGTTAAAATGCATTTTAATTTTATATGGATGGTGACAGATGCTGATTCAAAGCTAAACCTGTGCTTCCTTTTGTTACATTCTTAGCTTTGGCTTCATGAGCCTGGAAAGCATCTCCCTTGGCATGATCCTACCCTGTGTTGCATGTTATTAGGCATTCTGGTGATGTGAATTCTTTCATACCCAATTAGCAAATTCAAGCAGTAATTTTCCTATCTTACTGCTGGTAGAGACACTGTTAGATTCTGCCTTGTCAGATCTTTGTCAACAATTTACTTTCGTCTTCCTTTCTTTTAAAATCAGGCAATTTGCTTACAAATAGGAAAGCCTCTTGAAGATGGCTGCCAGGTTGTATTTTTTTTTTTCTTCCCACAGTGACTAGCAGAGCACCTGCCATGTTCATCTACATAGGCACTCTATAAATATCCGATGATTTAGTGACTTATTAAAGGACTTTCCTTCTTCTCTTTGATTTTCTGTTTTTGTATTGGGTAAAGGAAACTTGCCAGAAATAAATTTATAGGGCGGTGTTCAGGAGTGTACTTTCTTTTCATGTTTCTATAGAGACCATACACAAAGTAGGTGATCCATTTTCCCTTATCTAATTTAAAGGAAATTATGATTTATTTCATGTTCTTCTTGCAGGAAAGAGTGTTCTGAACACCAGCCTAAAGTGGAAGAGCCTGAGGCTGAAGGTGCAGTATACTGTTTACACTGAAGGAGCTTGTGTGTGGACAAGAGGTGCTGGCAGCTCAAATGGATCCCATGGAGCTGAGAAATGTCAACATTGAACCCGATGACGAGAGCGTCAGTGGAGAAAGTGCTCAAGATAGCTACACCGGGATGGGTAATTTAGAAAAGGCAGCAATGAGCAGGTATGGGATTAAAAATGACCAGGGTCCACGGTAAAATGACAGGTTTATGGATGTGAAAAACAAGGTTTTTGGCAGGAAGAATTGGACTCATTATCTATTTGCAAGATAACCATGACATTGATGTTCACACATCAACTCTGATCCTGAAGTTCGTTATTATATCATCATTATATGTCAGTCTGATATAGACTGTGTGTGACTAATTTAGAATTGAGGTTACAGTGTTCTAGTCCCCATTAATATAGAACATTCAAAGTTATATAACCTATCACTTCTTTCACCTTTTGGACTATTTTCCCCTCAGATTTCTCTTCCTTTGCCCCTTCGATGTTGCCGCATCTCCAGAATTCTGTGGTGATTCTTTGGTCACTAAAAGTGACATGTGAGCAAGCTCATTGACAACTCTCACAGTTCCACTCACCGAATGTGTGCCATGTCTTCAGCCTGTTAGACTTCTCACTTCATTTCAGGTCACTCTATCCAACTATCTACCACACGTCTCTACAGGGTGCCTCATGTGTCTGAATTGCCTCATTTATAAAGTCAAACTTGGGATGTCTAATATTGAACTCCTGTATTTCTCTTCAAAATCTCCTCCTCCTCCAGGAATTGCCATCATGGTGAAAATCACCACTGTCTTGTAGCAACTCAGTCAAAAGACCCTGACTGTCAACCTCGAATCGTCCCTTCTCCCAGCCACACATCCAGTGTTTGATTATATCTGATTGGTTCTACCTCTTTAATGTTTCAAATCCACCCTCTTCTCTGTACCCATTCTACTGCCATCTTACTCTAGGACCTCATCATCTGTCACCTATTAGAACAGCCTTTCCTGTCCCTTGGTCTCCCTGTCTTACATTTTGCTCTCCTCCAACTAGCTCTTCACATCCCTGCAAAAGTAATCTTCTACAATTGAGAGTAACTCAGGTTCCATCCCTTGGTAAAGCCTTTCAGTGGCTTCCCATTAGCTATAAGACAAAGATTGGGCCATACCTTGTTTGGCATGTAAGGCCCTTCTTGATTTGTCCCTGATCTGGCTCTCCTGTTCATACCTTGCTCTGCTCCCTTTTTGTAGGAAAGCCTTGTTGAGCCATTTCCAGCTCCCTGTGCCTTCACTCATTCTGCTCCATCAGCCTGGAATGCCCTCTTTTTGTGTCACTCATCCACCTTCCCCTTCCTCCATTGATACCATTCATCCTCCAAGACACAGCTCAAAGTCGGAACTCTGATGAAGCCTTCCCTCGGGTGAAAGTGACCACCCCTCCTTTGTGTGCCCGCTCTCCTCCATCATTCCACCACAACAGGCTACTGGCTTCTGTGGACCCAGCACATAGCATACTGCCTGGAACATAGTAGCTGCACAATAGACATTTGATAAAGGAAATTCATTTCTCACAAAATGGTATCGAACACAATGATGCATGACTTCAGACACTTAGAAGGAAATGTTTGACCAAATCTAGGCCTGAAGTAGAGAATATGACCCTCAAACAAGGACATCTCATTTCATTTCACAACATCCAGGAAAGACCGTTAGGAGGAAGCCCTATTCTCCCTCCACAGACCTGTGCAGTCAGCTTGTGTGCCGATGGACTAGGGAGATGATGGAGATGTAACTCGTGGCATTTTCTAGGTTGAGCAACTCTTGACAAGGCACAGTGTGGCAGAACACAGGGCTTTGGGATCTGCAGAGTGCTTGCCTGAGTTGAGAGAAGATATTTACCTTCTCATGAGCTTCAGTGAAAAATGCAGCACGACCAACTAGCACCTACTTTTCTGAGGATTAATTACATGAATGCCTGAAAGATAGCTGATCCCCAATAAACTTTGGTTCTTTCCCCTTCACTTGTCACCTTTAGTAAATTGACCAATTCTGAGGGCTCTTGTTTCTGAGAAGGAGGCACATAGATATGAATTCAGCAGAGGTGGCTGAGCAGAGGGGGACACCATCCCGAGAACAGTCCTACAGGGTCATTCGATTTGGTCCTCTAAAAGCCACAGCGGAAAGTTGGGAATGCTTCTGTTAAGCTTCATACAATGTGTTCGGGACTGCTTACAGTGACTTAGCTTTTAACTCCTGACTCAGACCCAGTCATCATTTTGCAATTTTATAATCACTTTAAAAAGATGGGTTTTGCTTATGTCTGGTTGGATTGATCCCTTCAATGTAAATTGTTGGGAAATTGAACATAATTCATTTATTTGGAATCATTATACTTATGTTTTCAATACATGCTGGGTTCAGTATCAAAACATTTAAGACATTCAAAACATTTCTCATATAGTTTATCCAGTCTTGTCATGTTTTATGATTACAATTCATCTCATGCCAAAATAAAAACATGCGAATGCCTTGAGAGAGAAAAATCTACTTACTTTCACATTTTAAATCTTAAAATCTACTCATGGACTAAAGGATTCTAAGTTATTGGTTGAGGTAAAGAACTAGAATGTTGGCATTCCAGAGTTTAAATCCAGATGACACTTTTGTTTGCTAACCCTTAGGCCTGTTTTAGGCTCCATTTTATCTTATTTTGTCTGTTTCCAACTATGAACATTATGTCCCAGTCTCCACATAGCAAGTCTATTAACTACAGACTATTAAAATAAAGCACAGAAAGGGAGCAGGGGGCGCAGGGGTTCGTGCAGGGATGGAAGAAAGCATTGGCAGGCATTATGCTTCCATGGAGAGAAGAGGAGAATGCCGGGAAATGTTCCTAGTTTGTCCACAGTGAATATCTAGAAAAGCCCATCAAACTTAGTAACTTCATCTGCTGGTTCTACCTACACTTGACATTGTTCTATAGTCTCCCAAAGTAACCTTGTTATCTCTTTCTCTCAAGATATTTTCAGGATTAGCTTGTTATAAAGGATAATTTGTACAGATCTCCTGTGATTACTAGTCAAGCCTTTTGGACACTTGGTTGTACTGGACCCATTTCCTTAGACCCCTGGCATATAACCACAGGACCTGTACAGAATAGACGTGGGCGGTGTCCAGCCTCTGCCTAAGTAGACCACAGTCCCAGTGTTTGCTGATGGCAAAGACAGAAAGCCCTACTTCCTTCCCAGCTCTTCTACCAATTCATGGTTTTCCGTAACGTTTTTCTTAGTTTCTCATTGTCTAAATAGTTCAAGTATATCTTCAGTCATGAAAATCTGTAGACTCACACTCAAAAACAACCAGACACAACACAGAGCTACCACTGAACTACATTCCAGCAAGGGATATGTGAATACACAGGTGGAACCAAGAAAAAAGGAAAACACCAGCTATGGGGTCCTGCCTGGGACTGCAGGGCACCATGGAAGACCCTAGACTTGGAGTTGGGTGGGTGTGGGCACGTTACTTCCCTTTTCTGAGCCAGGGTCACCTCATCTGTAGAGCAGGGGCTTGAAAGTTCCTCTCATAGGGATATTTGAGCATCGGATGAGATGAAAATCACATGCCTAGGCACTTAATATTTATTGAATTAATACAATCATCTGATTATGGTGTGGTAGTAACAGAGAAAACTCAGTCACTGCTCTATACCTTCTCTTTGGGAGGGCTCAAAGTGAAAACAAAATTAGCTGTAATTATTCTTTTTTTTGGCACAGTTCTTGTGGGAAGAAGAAGTATGGCTTAAAAAATTATTTTCTTCCTTCATAACTTTTCTCCTTCCCAAAGTATATTCATGAATGGAGCTCAGTTGTTGGTCTGGAAGGAACACTAGTATGAAGGAACAAAAGAAAGAAAAAAAAAGTTTTAAGTGCCTTGTTTTTCCTCCCCGATTCAGTGACTTAGATCACCTGAAACACAAATATAATTCAGAGCATTTACTTAGATGTTTTTCCTTCATTTTCTTTTTTGTATGTGCATCCAGTCAATTTACTAATGAAGATGCTGAAAGTCAGAAATTCCTGACAAATGGATTTTTAGGGGAAAAGAAGCTGGCAGATTATGATGATGAACATGTAAGTGAATCTCTGCTTTTGGGCAGTAAACAGGACTCGAGGGTGCCTGATCTACCTAGGTCTCTGTGGGAAAACAATGTGACTGAAATTTTCCAAGCCTTGATCAGCACATTCTCTGTTTATTCAGGCCCTTACTGGAATAAGGACTTGTTTTTCCTGTTCGCCATATGGCTACATAAATCATTTATGAAATTCATTTGTTTTTTGGAGAAATCATTCTAACCCAAATGTAATCTGCAATCAGACATGCTTTCCCTTCTTTACATTACCCAACTTGTATTTTCTATTTTTTACCCGAGACCCCTGCTGAAACCAAGCATTCCTTTGAAAATTATATGCTTTTATTGAAATAACAACTTTTATTCACTGTGATTTTATCTCACTCTTCAATTTCGAACTGTAAGCTCCTCCAGTAAAAGATAATGTGAGAATAAGAATAATTTGAAAAGGGTTCATCCTTTGGCAAATATTTGCTTAAAATGTGCCCTTTTTTCTTGAAGCATCCTGGAACCACCTCCTTCGGAATGTCTTCGTTCAACTTGAGTAATGCCATCATGGGCAGTGGAATCTTGGGCCTGTCCTATGCCATGGCCAACACGGGGATCATACTTTTTATGTAAGTACCTCTGCTTCAAAGCCCATGCACACCTGGTGTTCTTTCAATTAACAATCTCAAGTTTGATCTTTGTGAACAGGAATGATCTGAGAAAGTATTAGCATATTCTCGGGCTTCTAGATAAAACAGCAACCTGAGGACGAACCAGAGCAGACTAATCATGGTGTTTGTTCAACCAGCTGCCCCTAACCAACTGGTAGAAACTATATGTGCTCAACCACCCAAAGTACTGGAACAGCCCTACCAGTTCAAAGAAAGCATTTTACAAAGTGATTCACCGTAAAAAGATCTTTCCCAGAAGCAGATCCGACTGCATCACACTGTAAGGAAAAAAATCCCACCTCAAACCAGGCCTAGAGTCCTGCATGCTCTGGTCCCATCTTGTGCGCCATCCCCTACACCCCCTAGATGCCTGATGCAATGAGCACACTGGCCTTCTCTCCAACCCAGAAGGTGCCACATTCCCCTCTCACCAACGGGCCTTTGCACAAGGTCCTGGAATTCTTTTCCCTTTCTTCTTCATCTAGTTGACTCCTCATAGCACAGCTCACCCTCCCCTGAGTTATGCCTTTCTTGGCCTCCATGCCTGGGACAAACACCTTACTTTACACTCCCCATAATTTTAATATTTTAGTGCAGTTGTCCAATTTATTTGGTTAGTATCTCTCTCCCTTGCTAGACTATAATCTCCAGGGGATTGAGCCCACATCTGTTTTCACTCACCACATGTCTGTATCCCCAAGACCTAGTACAGTGCTTGGCACAGAAATATTTGCAGAGTGGCCAGAGTTTATTCCTAAACCTATGTACTTGGTCAAAGGCTGCCTGAGGGTAGCAGGGTCACATAGCCGACCTGGAGGGTGGACACCACATCGTCTGTGACAAACTGCCACAGATGTTTGTGTGCATCACGTACAGCCTGGGATTTTCTAAGACACAGTTGGCAGCAGTGGAATTCTTCACAGGAATAGTCTAATATTAGTCAGGCGTCAGCGTGAATGCAGATCGCCATCCCTAATGCAACGCTAGAGCGTTAAATAGCTGTCTAAGAACGTAATGCTTATGTTATAAATATATGCTATTTATGTTTTGAGCACCATTTATGATTAGATAATCACACAGCTATTTGAGGGCTAAGGATCAGGCAGGGCTATAAATATTTATATTGTGTTACTGCTCTGATCTGTTTTGGGTATAATATTTTTTAGCTGAACGGGTTTTTATATCAATGTCACGTTTGAAACAAAGTAGTTTTTTTTCTTATTCTCTAAATCTTAATGGCTTAGAGATGTATTCATACACACAGTTGTATACTTTTGTAATAGGCACTATCTCTAAGACAGACTGCCTTCTCCAATTAGGAAGTTATCATCAATCACTGATGAATAGAAACAAGAGACTCTTCCCCCGATCCTAGGCCTAGGGTCACAAGATCATTTTCAAGGGAGTAGAATATGCCACTTTTAAAACCGAGGGCTTCATTTCAGACCTAAACATTTAACAGATTAAACTGTCCAGAGCAATTACATTGTTGGACATCGTGAGGTATGTTCTGTGTATCCAAGAAGCACAGATTGAATTCGGCTATCCCCCTTAACTCACAGCGAGTGACACAGGATTTCATTGGTTTTACTTTTAGTATTTTCTGCCAAAGAAAGTATGTGTTTAGAATACAGGGAATGCTCATTATTTTTCCAGGAAATAAAATTCTGTAATCTGAATCTCATCTTTAAAAACAGGTAAGTTCACAAGGCATATGGAAACATATATGAATAAGTCATTGATTAGCCAGTTCTGATAAACATATTTTGTGGAAAACAAGAGCACAAGATAGCTAGAGTAGTTATAAAAATTTGTAACTCGTGGCCCAAATATACATTCGCAACATTGACTTCATCAGGAATTACCAAAGAATTAGATCAATTGTGGGGAAAGTGTTTAATGTGTTCTGGTCATGTAAAATAAAGAATAAGGGTTTTATTTTGGTTTTGGTTTTTGCTTTAGATGTCAGGTGAAGTTTAGTATTATTCCTTTATTTGTTATATAGATGCTTTTATCTGTGCTCTTATTTTTGCTTTCCAATTCTTGTTTTTGGAGAAACACTGATCACTCTATGCATAAAGAATCCGTACATGCCTTGGACATTGTAGAGGGTCCAGAGCCAGAAATGATTCTTTCTGACCCCAACACAAAAAGGCATTTTTCTGCACCCTATCCTTCCCTTTCTCTGTTTGCTCTATTATACAGGCAACGGCCTGACCCTCCGGCTCACACAGTATCTTGTTATCTCATGTGCAGGATCAGTAGTAATGCAGGTTAGACTGCATGCTCTGGCTTCGGTATTTCTAGATTTTACATTAAGGCTTAGCCAGCTTGTCAAATAGTCCTTCAATTATAAATGTTGTTGAGAACAGCACACAAATATGATGGACATATACCCATATGCTGAATAAGTAGATAGAGTATGTGCTAATTTTGCCATACATTTAGCATCTAAGTTATGAACCAAATTCGGCTATTGGGGAGTTTCCGGTGGTATATTTTAGCACATAAAATACAGCAAATTCCAGTTCTGTGACAGCAAAGGGTATGCGTGGAGTTCAGAAAAGAATTTCTCAGCTTCCCAAAAACCCACATGCTTTTGGAAAGTTAATGGTTGAAAGGACCAGTGCAATAATTTATGATAATATCTAATGTGAGGATGTCTTATTTATTATAGAAATAATTTATTGTCTACTCTCTATTCCCTTCCCAGAATCATGCTGCTTGCTGTAGCAATATTATCACTGTACTCAGTTCACCTTTTATTAAAGACCGCCAAGGAAGGAGGTATGCTACCCCTCAAGTCCAAGATGTTCTATTTTGATTCTTGTTAAAGGGTAGTTCATTCTATTGCTCTCTAACTATAGGAGGATTTTAGTCAATTTCACATTTCATTTTCTTCTGACCCCAATGACATGGTCTCTCAATGTTTTTAGTAATTAGGGTAGCTAAGAGAAGTGAAAGGCAACTGGCTCGGGTTCAAGCCAAATAGGAAAAAGGAGTCTTGATGGATGACAGAAATAACAGTTCTGACTTGCTGCACGGAGCTAAGATGAATGAAGCCATTGCTTCTTGTCTGGAGAACATTTACCATATTTTGTGTTGGCTTCTGAGATTGCATCTTTGGGGTTTATAATTTCTGTGTGGTGTTTATGTACACATTTGAGACTCCAGTGTACAATTATAGAAATATTTTAGTCATTAAAACAATCCTTTTAAAAGGTTGTTCTTTTGTTTTTTTGTTTTTACTTCTTATTGTAGGGTCTTTAATTTATGAAAAACTAGGGGAAAAGGCATTTGGATGGCCTGGGAAAATTGGAGCTTTTGTTTCCATTACAATGCAGAACATTGGAGGTAAGGGCATATAATATTCACTACCACTTAAACGTTCTAAAGAATGTTCAATAAACCAGAAAACTCTTACGGCAATGAACAAGCACTTTAAATACAGAAAAACAGCTGCTTTATATTCAGAAATTTTAAAAATAAGGATTCTTAAGTAGATTTGCTGTCCTTTAATGAAAAATAACAATATCTAAGAAAATATTATATAGGATCCCACCAAATGAATTCTAGAAGTAAAATAGAAAATAAAAGCTTTCTTGATTTCAAATGCTATTATGGCTTTCATTTAAATTTTAAAAATTAAATCATTAGTGCTTATTACTGTCTTTGTCAGAACAGTTGATGTTTCATATGTATGACTGAGTTTATTTCATAAAACTGAAAATTAAGTATCTGAAAGGCATAGCCAAATATGGGGGCGGGGGGTGGTTCCTTGAGACAGCCTTCACAGAGCCAGCCCATTGGAGTATGTCCTGAGAAGTTGTGCTAAAGCAAAAATCTGGCTGGGTAGACATTGGGAGCATTATAATAAAACCACCAATTCCTTGGTTCTACAGATTCTTATAATTCCTACTAAATGATAATTTCTAGAGTAGAACCTAGGAATGTGTATTTTTAATAGTGTTCCAGGTGATATGTTTGCCCACCAGCTTCACAGGTCCTGTGGAGTTTTTGACCCTCAGAAGGCATCCAGACCCCTAATTCCTATGTCCTACTGCCTATGTCTTCTTTCACGGCCTGGAATCTATTATCACACAGCGGTGCCTACTTCCTCACCTCCTCTCCAGTCCCCAAACCTGCTATTCCGTTCTTCTTTCTTTCTTCTCTCAGTGAACAATACCAGCAGCCTCCAGTTTCTTGAGCCAAACATGATAGGTGTCATCCTAAACTTCTCCCTCCCTCCTTAATCCTGATCATTCAAATACCTACTCTTGTCCATTCTGTTTCTTACCTGCCTTGAAAAGTTCTCCTCTCCTTCTAGTCTCTCTGTCACAGTTCAGGTGGTCACTGTTTCTGCTCAGACTCTTGCAGTAGCCTTCTAACTGGGCTTCCTGCCTTGAGTTTCTCCTGCTCCTATCTCTGATTTATCCTCCAAATTCACTTTCTCAAATGCAAATCTAGTCTTGCTTCTCACAAGCATAAAATTCTTCAGCATGCCCTCATTATTTTCAGGTTAGAACTTAAACTCCTTGGCTTGTCATGTAAGGATCTCATCTTTCTTCTACCTACCTTTCTGATACCTTTCCTACTACCTCCATACCTACCTAGCTAGCTATCTATCTATCTTTTATATGTCCTGTCATACCATAACAAACATACTCAGTTCCCCTACTCTTGGAGTCCCCCAGCACCCCCCCCCCACAAGACACACATTCTTTCTGTTTGCTCCCATGACCCATCGCTTCTCTAGACTAGTAGGTACTAGTCCCTCCGGGTTCCCTTGGCCCTGTTTGTATGTATCTGACATGTTACTGCTTTTAAAAAATATTTTCAAGCCCTTGAGTAGAGAATAGACTTTTGGAGTCTGATGCACCTAAATTTGAGTCTGTTTCTGTCATTGTCTGTGACTTTACTCATCTGAGTCTAATTTTTCCATCTATGAAAATGAGAATTACATTCCAGCTCACAAGGTCATTGTGAGGATGAAGTCAGATAACATATGGCACATAATAAGGGTTCAGTACATCCTTTCCTCCCTAGTTCTCGGATTCAATGTCTCTGGAGCCCTCCTGATTATTTTTTAAATGGGCATTTTTATAATTATAAGACAAATATATGCTAATTGTGAAAAACTAAAACATTACATAAATATATTAATTATAAATAAATATTTATATAAGTCACCCTTAAAAATAGCTACTCCAAGGTTTTCTTCTATGCAAAATTTAATAAATATATTGTTACTGATAAAATTGGATCATCTTATAATACTGATTTGCAGCTTCCTTTTTTTACTTGACAATATGCCTTGAATGTATTTGCATATTATTCTTTTAAATGGCTTTTGAATTTTCCATTGTGCAAATGTACCATAATGGGTTTACTGAATCCCTTATTGATATTGAATTGTTTCTAGTTTTTCACTATGACAAACAATTGCTGCAATAAATAAATTTGCACAGAGATCTTGCAAGAAGGTAACTCTTTTTAAATAAAATCATTGGCGTTATCTAGGATTTCTGGAATGCAGCAATTCTTCTAATAACTTTCATCCAACTATACCTGCTCCTGCTAATGGATGGTTGGTAAGCAGATAAATAAAATCCAGGCAAATCTTAATGATTTGTATTTATTTCTTTTCATATTTGTATATATTAAGACTATAGACCTGGGTAGAATTTGGCAGTAATACCAGGATTGTTGCCTACATTTTACTGGTTTGAGGCCACAAGAATATAAGCTCCCCATCTCCCACCGAATAGACTGCTTTACATTTGGTTCAAATTTTCAGCCCTTTCAAGACTTAAACTGTCAGGCATTTCATAGGATCACCTCATAGTTGATCTAATTTACTTGTTTGGATAACTGAAATAACTGGACATACACATATTTAGCCCTAAACCCAACGAGCTGAGAAGCAACAGCACTGTCTTTTGCTCAAAGTGTAACTACCATTATGCTTCTAAATAATGGAGTAAACTATAAAATGGTCTCTCAATCAAGATGCACACACATGAAGGAAGTGTGGCTTTAAGGGAGTAAAAATTTCATATACCATTCCTGAAAGTGCTCTCATTTTGGTTACTCTATGTGATTAGTAGTTATATTAGCCTAAGGGAAATCACTTGTATTTCTGTATTTAGCAACTCCACATTTAGAAAGTTTAATTTTCTCAATCCCCTGAAAAATTAACATTTACCACAGATGTTTCAACATTAGCAGAATAATGTTGACATTACCCAGACAGGTCTGGATCATTCTAAATTTTCGAAGACCAAACACATTAACAGTGGTGACATCACTGAAAGTCAGCAATTAATAGCTCTAAAATTGAATGGTACCTCACTGAGCCAGTTAATCAGAAATATCTCCTCTGTTTGCGCTCTGTAAGATTTAGCGTTAGCCAAGGTCTTTGTAAAGATTAACCAAATAATATTTACAGAAGACACATCAGGTATCGTAAAAATCATTTCACTTCACAATAGAGAAGAAACACTGGCCTGAAGTCAGGGATCTTATATTTTGGATGTGGTCTGTTGTTTTCAATCTGCGAGATCCTGGACATGTCAAGAAAGCTTTCAAACATATCTATCCTCAGCTGTGGAATGAAAATAACCTATACCTTGCTGTTTTACATGGCTTTTTAGCGGATCAAATGGAGTAATCTGCAAGACTAAAACAATGTAGGGAATCATTATCACCATTATTACTTTTGTTGGAGGTTAAAAAAATCCTTTGAAACTATTAATAGTACAATTTGCAACTTAGATATCTGCTTTCACATGTCTGTGAGCAAAAATTCACCAGAAAAATGTAGCACACACTTACCCATTACAAAGCAAAACTTGTCAGTCTTATTTTTAATTTAACTTAATAAAATGAATTTTATTTTTAACTTCCTGGACCCTGTGTCAAATTAGCATTATATTTCACGGCATGGATGGACTTGAGAAAGAGAAGTTGCATCAATCCCTACAACTTTAGGCAACATTATACGTTATGAATATGTATACATACACGTTTTTCCAGGGAGAGGGTTTATAGATTACATCAACAGATTTTTCAGAAGAGTACATGATAACATATCACTTATCACATATCATATCACTTACGTAAATGCTCAAGAACTTTTGCCATGTTGTATAATTTATTATTTGGCCAAAGGGAGACTGGGATATAGAGAAAACAAATTCACTGACCAAGGTGGGAGAAGCTATCATCTCTTACATTCTTTTATCAATCCAGCCAGCCTCTAGTTGCGACGATCCATGCTCTGAGGCGTTGGGTGCCCCTTGGGGAGGTTACAGAGGACAACACCAGTGCCCACCTGGGGAACTGCCCTCTCTCCTTTTGTGGCCAGACCCCTGCCCAAGTGGTGGACACTAAAACAGGCACTCCGTACAGGCCATGATGACTTATAACGAATTAGGGGGAAACTTTGAAAGAGCAACATCACTGAAAACCTCAGAGCTGGATTAAAAACAGAATCAGCATTGATACTGTTAGCAAAGGTCCGTGTGCAAGAGCCAGAGGGCCAAATATCTATTTTTGAAAAGAACTTGGAAGCCGTACAAAACACACTGGGTGGCTTTTCTTTCCATTTGGGGGATTAGATGCTCATCTTACCAGAAGACTGAATGTCCCAAATGCCGGGACTTCTCACAACTTGCCTGTGACTTTAGTGCTATGTACACCACTAAGCTGTCACGTTTTCCATTTTAGCAATGTCCAGCTACCTCTTTATCATTAAATATGAACTACCTGAAGTAATCAGAGCATTCATGGGACTTGAAGAAAATACTGGGTATGTCATGTTCTCTCTGTAACATCCGTTGACTCATTCTAATTGGTCTTTTCTGATCCTGATTTTTTCTTTCTTCCTTTTTTTTTTTTTGAGCGAGAGAGTGGGGTGGGGAGAGGCAGAAGGAGAGAGAATCTTAAGCAGACTCTATGGCCAGCATGGAGCCCAATGCAGGGTTCGATCTCACAACGCTGAGATCATGAATCAAGTGTTGCACATTTAACCAACTGAGCCACCCAGGCGCATCCTAATATTCTTGCCGCTCTTTCTCTTTCAGAGAATGGTACCTCAATGGCAACTACCTCGTCATATTTGTGTCTCTTGGAATCATTCTTCCACTTTCTCTTCTTAAAAATTTAGGTAAAGTCATTTTTAATTTTTATTTTCATATTCTAATAGGTGGGCCAATTGTAGATACCATATTCACCTTCCAGAATTTCTCTGCTAACTTTTAGGTTACCTTGGTTATACCAGTGGATTTTCTCTTACCTGCATGGTGTTTTTTGTCAGTGTGGTAAGTGATTTATTGACATGATCCCTATAGGTTGGTGAGCATGAGACATTAGTCCCTGAATTAGTGTCCTCATTTTTGTTCAAGCACTTCACTAGCATGAAATATTTCTTGCATCACAAACCATTTTCTTGTATTCTAATTTGGAATGAGGAAAGGACAGTCATGAGTTTAAAAATAGTTGAGTTAGAATGTCAAGGCCATGGCTAATACTATGTTCAAAGCACACAGGATGTATATTTGGACAAAAGGAATCCTTCAAGCAGTGATATGACAATGACCTTCCATTTAGAAAGGTGGAGGAAGAAGTGAAGAGTCCGAGAAGAGAAATGAGTAGGCTATAGAATTATCCACATCTACATCAATCTGTCATTTTCTCCTGTATGTTCCACCCATGAGACGAGGGCGACCCCAGTGGAATTAAAAAAGAAATTCTTCTCCCCACTGCCCCCACTCCCCACCAAAAGGGAGAGATTTTTTTTTTTTGTAATATCATGGATGCCAAAATGTATATGCATTTCCCTAAAAAGTCAAAGGAGAATTTTTTATATTTATTTATATTAGTTTGAAGAACTAAAAGATATGAAGTGTAGCAAGGCAATGATCACCTTTCTCACAGAATACGAATGACGCTTAGGATGGATTCATGCAAAATACTGTCCTGTTGACTCTCAGGGGCAACCATCGTTCCAACTGTTTCCTTAGAGCAGAAGCTAGAGGGAGTCTCCATTGTCCATTAGCCTAGAAGGAATCCTCAGCAGACGCTCCTCACCTCTACCCCATAAGCCACATATATGGATTTTTGTTTCATTGTTTTCCTCAAAAGGCTGATTTTTTTTTTTTTTTTTTTTAATGGCTGGGCCTAGGTGATTTACAAGAAATTCCAAATACCCTGCCCTCTGCCTGTTCTGGATCACAATGTTGGAAATCTGACATTCAACAGTACACTTCCAGTGCACATGGTAATGCTGCCTAACAACTCCGAGAGTAGTGGGGTGAACTTCATGATGGATTACACTCACCAGAATCCTGCAGGGCTAGATGAGAACCAGGCCAAGGGCTCTCTTCATGGCAGTGGAGTAGAGTACGAAGCACACAGTGATGACAAGTGTCAACCCAAATACTTTGTATTCAACTCCCGGGTAAGTGATGAGCCTAATACTACAGCCGAATCTCTATTTTATAAATGGAGATGGTTTGGGGTCGTCGTCTGTTTGGGAATGCTACACCGGCGTTGTTATCTTTGTTTTTCAGACGGCCTACGCGATTCCTATCCTAGCATTTGCTTTTGTGTGCCATCCAGAGGTCCTTCCCATCTACAGTGAACTTAAAGAGTAAGGCAGCCTTCATGTTAGCATTCTAATTTGTTTTGAAAATGTGCTTCATATGTTCAAAGGTGCTTTATATGGAAACATGATTAATGGCTTTTTCTCCAGAGAAAGTTTGTGGTACATTCCACTCATCAGGGATGTACTTTAACCAAAAAAGGTGTGAATCAGCCCCCTCACTGCACTACCTTATTTGCTTCCTTCCCTCCTGTTTCTCCATCCTATGATCCACAAGAGGGGCTTAGGGCAGGGGGAGGAGGAGCCAATGGCTAGAAGAATTTTGGCAGGCATGAGGAATTTGAATTTGAATTTTGCTGGGAATGTCATCACCTCAACTGGAAATGACCATAGCCATGAAGACCAAAAATTATGGTTAAATTACGCTAAGCCATTGAGTTCATTTGTGATCAGTCCCTAACTCTCGTCTAGAAGACATTCACCACGAGGATGTGCCAAACCTGGCCTTCATTGTCTTATGTGTACAGTGGAGACACTGGCTAACCAATCTTGTTTCTTGTAGCTGAAATTCTATGGTTCAATTATTTTGATGTCTTTGGTTTACTTGGAAAATCACATGTAGCAGTTACCCTACACTTGACTTTAGCCAAAGATCGAGAAGTGATAGCAGTCACTTCGGAGGCCTGACAATTGACCTTAAGCAGCTGGGTGCTCTCCAGAATGGTTTTCAGAAGCTGTCCAGGCTTCCTGGTAGTCTGGACTCATGAAAGTTGTGCTTTGCTGATTCTAGTAGGTTTGTGTCCTCATTAAACCCTTCTCACTGTGAAATATGAACGCTTTCCACATTAGGAGCCAGTTTGATCTCTATGTTAATTATATTCTTGAACACTCAGTAGACAAGTATATTTATCAACACAAAATAAATTAGTCTTCTAGGAAAACGGTTGTCCCTAAGACTAAAGGAGTAGTGCTTAAGAAAAATGGAAACAGGGGCACCTGGGTGGCTCAGTCAGTTAAGTATCTGACTCTTGATTTCAGCTCAGGTCATGATCTCAGGGTCGTGAGATGGAGCCCTGCATCGGGCTCTGCCCTCAGCGGGGAGTCTGCTGGAGATTCTCTCTCTCACTCTCCCCCTCCCCCGCTCGTGTTTTCTCTTTCTCACTCTCTCTCAAATAAATACATCTTAAAAAAAAAAAAAAAAGAGAAGAGAAAAATGGAAACAAATCCTTCATGGCTCTCAAAGACAAATCTAAATAAGCTATGTTTCTGCACTAGAAATGTGGTTTTATAAAAGCAAACACAGGCATACATTCTTTCACTATTTTTTTTTAAATTTTAATGATAAAAAGTGGTACTTTCACAAGTTAAAAAAAAAAAAACCCACAAAGCTTGGTGTTTTCTTTTCAGTCGGTCCCGGAGGAAGATGCAAACAGTGTCAAATATTTCCATCACGGGGATGCTCGTCATGTACCTGCTTGCTGCCCTCTTTGGTTACCTAACCTTCTATGGTAGGTCACTCTGTCAAAGTCATTCTCTTTGTGCAAATCCTAGTTGGACTGATCATTAACCTGGTTGGGTATAATTCTTTTAATCGCCCTCTCTAAGCAGCATGATCCTAGTACACATAATCAATTAACATGCTATGTTAGCCTTGTCACTTGACCTAAGAAAATGGGACCTGAACCAGCCTGGCCAACAAGTTACAACCATTTGTGAATTCACACATATTTTATGAAAACCAGCCCTCTCATTTAAGTTATTTTCCCTAAGGGGTAGATTAGATTTCTTTGGCTTGACTCCCTAGGCCATCTCAAGCTAGAAGCAATGACAGTGAGTCCAATTGTATATTGTAAAGCTCTTTTGGTAGAATAACTAACTACCAAACAAATGGTAGGAAAAGTACAAAGTCCTAGAGTTGGAACCTGCTTTTTGTTTACCAGGCAAGTGGAATCTGGGGGCTTGGAGCATTAGGCAAGTTTTTTGCCTCATCCCATTCTATTCTGTTATCGTGAATGGTTTCCGAAGAAAAGAAGACATGACAGAATTCCCTCCAATCTGGGAATGTACTACCAAAAACAAAGAAAAGCAACTATGGACACATTAGATTATGCCTAAAACAATTTGCCTATGGCATCTTAATGGACACAAAAGAAGTAGGATTGTTACAGCCCTATAGACATATTTCAGGGATTCTAACATTGACCTGTTGTCACAAATCAATGTTAGCAATGTAAATCTATCTTTTATATAAACCTCTTTAACTTTTTCGTTTAGTTTTCTTTTTCCCAATTCAGTAAGTTAGATTCAAGACAAATTGTGGAGGAAAAGACCAGGGAGGAGGCACCATTTACTTGTTTTTTTTTTTTTCCATTTGACTAATATTTGGCTATTAACCAAGCACTTACTTTAGATTGGGCATGAACTCTTTGTTGGATTGTGAATTAATAAAAATCAGATCAAAACTATGGAAGGTATTTTTACACCCCCCCCGCCCCGTCTGGTTTGGAGGGGAGTAAGGAGAAAAAAAAAAAAGTCAAACTACATCTGATTCTATAAGCATTTCCAGTCATTTGTGTCTGGAATTCTGAATGAATACGTTTTCTAGGTGGGTGGCATCTTAATCTTAGATCAATATCCATTAAGAGACCCTGTAAAAATCATGCTAATTCATTCTTGCATGTCCTTATACAGACCCTAATGAGTCTCTTAAGACAAGTGAAAGCTTGAAAAATCAAGTCTGTATCAGTGTCATAATGAAGTCATAATTGTTGAACTTGAAAAAAAATGTTAGAGTTCATTTGTCCTAAGGTTTCCAATACTAGGTTCAGAGAAGCTGCATCAAAGCTAACTGGGAAGGTGGGAGTGGAGGGGGGTTGGCAGGATGTGAGGGACAGGCTGGTGGGGCTTGACTCTTTCATCCCCTTCAACAGAGCACCTCAGCCTGTCACCTCTTTTGCAAGGCTTCCCGTACAGCAGAGACAGACTTATCATGAAGTAAATGAGCTAGAGAGGCACCTGCATAATTTGATTCTAGCTTCTGCAACTTTATGAGCTTCAGGGTTTCCTTGTTCATTTGAAGAAAAGTCACACAACTAATAAGCTCAGAGACAGGATTAAAACAGAGGTGTCTAGATTCCCACCCCTGGGGGTTTTTGTTTGTTTTTTTCCCCACTGAACTGTGTTCCCTTTGTAAAATGTTACTGTCGGTATGGACTTGACAGCACCAAGTGAACCCATTCTCTTCTTCGTCTTTGTAGGAGAAGTTGAAGATGAACTACTACACGCTTACAGCAAAGTCTACACATTCGACACCCCTCTCCTCATGGTACGCCTGGCGGTCCTTGTGGCTGTGACGTTAACGGTACCCATTGTCCTGTTCCCAGTAAGTACATGACATTTTGATGGAAGAATCCTGCTTAACCTTGGCTAGTACATACGTTCCCATTTGATGCGGCTTTCATTGTGATGTGAGTTTGCAATTGCAATGCCTGAAGACATTTTTATATAGCACTTTGAAGCCATTTAAAATGGACAATTTAATATGTAAGCTATAACAAATATTTTTAGATGTTAAACACTTTTTAAATATAGGAGGAAAAAAATCACCAACTGTATTTCTATATTTATTTTCCAGGTTTATTGAAGTCAAAATTTATTGTTAGGCTCAAATTCAAAAAGCAGATCCTGAGTTTCTATCTTGTGGGTTAGTAGAAATGAGTAGGAGTTCATAGAACTTCTGAAACTTGAAAGCCAAAACGACATTACTTTGCAGTTCATTGAGTTTTCCCCAGTTCTGAAGGTATTTAATTCCCTCCCACCCCCAGTGTGTTGTGCTTCAGTAACATTCAAAAGTCGCCTTCATCTGACTCCTTGAAGACCAATGAGAAGGGGAATCCTCTTAAGTAAATTACATGCTAGAACTAAATTTCTTGAAAAATAGTTATATTACCCATCATATATCTCTTCTACAATCCCCAAAACTGATACACATCCTCTGCCAGACTCCTACTGGGATCCCCCCTTCTTGGCATTTGCCTTTGGCGTCACTCGTTCTGAGATCACAGGGCAGGGCTGGTTGAAGAGATTTGGGCTGCGTGAGTTAAAACCACCACCTATGGATAAACACAAGTCTGCATTCTCCTGCCAACTGTTCTCCTTTCATAAATACTGAATTTACTCATTCATTTTAGGGGGAAAAATAAGCAACCTAGTAACCAGCGCCATCCTGTACAGAATGTTCCATACGGGGCCCAGCATACGAGGACTACTCCTATAATGACACTGTGGTCACTTTAAATGCAGCTTGTGTGCTGAAATATTTTTTGACACATTCCTTTTTCATGAGTGCATGAAATCAGATCCTTATTACCAGGAGGGCCAGTATTTTACTCTTAAATAATATCTTGCCTCTCATGTGTCTGAAAGTATTTCAAACGACATGCACACAGCTTAAACCTAAAATCAGCTCCATCGTGGGTACAAGGCAGAAGACAGCTGTAGACAGAATGTGTACCATAGGGTAAGATTTCCAAGCAAACACTGTCTGTGAAGAAAGAATGTTGAAGCCCTTCTTTTTGTGTGTAAAGATATCACCAACTAATTTTTGGCACACAGCAGGCACTCCCATCATTATTGAATCAAAGTAATGTACAAAAGAAATCTGTTATGTGCTTCTGTATTGTTTTCTTCATAAGCCCCAAATGTAGTGCTTTCATGTTGTGGTCTTGGGAGATTAATGGACTTGGCCGTGGTCATGAAGCTAGTCAGTCACAGTTGACTAATGCAGTGCTCCTAGCAGGACCCTGATGGCTGGTGTCAAGATAATGGGAAGTGGAAGTCAGCCTTTCATCTACTGATGGTCATTTCACCTCAACATTTGAAATCTAGATCTCCCCATAGAAGCTCTTTCTCTCATGACAGATAAGGCACTGGTAGAAGTCAGACCATCAAGAAGAGTAGTAGGTAGGAAACCTCTCCATGAGATGAACCTTAGAATCAAGACTGACTAGGAGAACCAAATTTCAGAAAAATAACTGTTCTCCTTAAGTAAGAATTTTCACCCAACATTGACATTTATGAAACATTTTGCACCTCATTCTGTCTCTGATCTTACACTGTTACATTGAGATCATCTGTGTAAGTGCCCACCTTCTCCCCTGGGTCAAAAGTCCTGGAGGTTAGGGATGTGCTCAGTGACTGGCTCAGGAGCTCAGCAGTGGTTGCTAAGAAAAACGGTCTCCAGAGGAATCTTGCCTTTTCTGGAGATGTATAAACTGCCTTTTCTGACAGAAGCAGAGGCTGTTCCCCTTGCTGACATTTGCCATGAACTTCAGTTTGGGTGAGGATCTGGGCTAAATGAACCAAGCCTCCATGGGTCTGATGGAGGGCAAAAAAAGCCTCCTTGTCCCAGTCAAACCCACAAGGCTACGTTCAGACACTTTCCCCCTAAAGCGTGAGAAGTTGGTGGTGTGTTTGTTCCTTACGACTTACAGCCATGACTTTCAACGTGGCAAACACTGAGTCATGCATGCCAGGGTTCTCCTGAGGGTTTCTTTTATTAAGAAACTCTTGACCAATAAGAAATTTATTTACTTTGCTTTGATATCCCCACATACAAATAATAAAAACAAACAAAACCTAATCTAGTAGGATTAAAACCTCTCAATTTTAGGTATAAATTTATATTCTACTTCTTTCAACAAATGATAAGTGGGCTCTTTTTCTTAGGAACCCAAGAAGAGACAAAGGTGTTGCTGTTGTTGGGTGGTTGGATGGATTTTCCTTTGATTATTCCATTTATTATCTTTATTTTCTCCAGTTAGGTCAGTTTTTTCCTTCTTAATGAAAGACACACATTGAGTGCAAAAATGGTTATCGAGCAAATGAATAAATGAAGTGAACTGCTTTTTCACTAGTGTCCCAACATTTCTGTTTCTAGTTTTGCGGTGGTGGTGGTATGGCAAGGTTGTCCATTATGGGACTGCACTTCCTTCCCAGAGACTGTGAACACCATTTTCAGCGTGTACTTCTCTTTATGCAGTAAAGTTCACACATCACCATGAAAAACAGAAAACCAGATAATCCTAATGAGTTTATTAAGAACACAGACTCACATTCCGTTTGCCATACCTTAAAAAAAAAAAAAAATCACATCTCAGATTCTCTAGCTATTTATATTTTACAATAGTGAAATCATTCTTTTCATTGATGCTGCCTTCAGATCCCCCATTAGATATAGGCATAGAAATATTGCAAATATTGCCATGAACTGGAATAGAGTAGTGATCCACAGATATTTCCAACACACTTGTCCTAAGCAATGTTACAAAGTGAAACTGTGATTCACTTCTAAACCATAGGATTGATTTCTTTTTTTAAGAGTTCAGACCTAACGACGGTTCCCACTTTCTACTCTGCCTCGCACTGGGTCCCCGGATTCGAACATAGCACCCCCTCACAGACTCCTATTCCGAATACACTCTCTGGAAATAGCAGATGTTTTTTTCTAGAGCTGCCAAGGACCTTTCTGGAATCATTCTGGGTCAGAGGCCATGGCCGTTGCTATGGACATTCCCCCCCGCCCCATGGCATCTGACCCACATTTCCAGGTTCTTATCAGTTTGTGTCAGTAGAGAAAAGGCGCTTAGATAAGTGGAACAGCAGGCAGTGCATTGTGGGAAACAGGCCAGACTTGCCTCGCTCCTGACATAGGTAAACAGAGCTGCGGAGGACCTATTGATCCAGGCTCACCTCTCAAGGCAGCATTTTAACATAGAATGACCAGCAGGTTTTCTTCTATTCTGTTCCATCACCACCTCCCACCAGCCACAGCCTGCTGTCTCCCAGTTTGCCCTCTTACTAGGAATGCCCTGGCAGCTCCAAATGCCTTCAGTTCTGTTGGGGATTTTGTTCTTCGTTCTTTGCCGTGAGGAGCCAGCTTTCTCCATTTGTTCTGACCATGATTCCTGTAAACCTTCTGTACTCTTCCATCATCAGGCCCTAGTCTTTCCAGGAGCGATGAGACCATAGGAAACTGCATTCACATTCAGGGACCCTGTACATATAGGTTTACCTCTAACTCAGCCCCTTGAATATACAGTATTATTTTAACAAAAGACAAAAAAAAAACCAAACATACATATGACCTCTGCCTGAAAATAACCTGCATGCTACTTGTTCATTCTATACATTTAGCACTTTCAGACAAATCCTTCAGCCATGTGGATGTACTGTAGAAAGCTCATTTTTAAGCCTAATGAGACCAGTTTGGACAAGATTGATTAAGCACGAATTGTGGATCATAATGTAGAATTTATGGGCAGCCGAGGAAAATGTTCTCAAACCATTTGCTTTCTTCAGCCTACTTTTCAGAGCGAGTTTCATAATTTTAACTAATCCAATTTTTAAAATCCTTTACAAAGTCACTCTTAAACCATTTCCAGAGACTATCTGGCTTGCCATTCTGGAAATGAAATTGCTTTTGAAACCTAAACAGATGGCTTTAAATTTTGGTGCAGTGGTATGAAAGGAATGTCCCATTAGACACTACAAGTTTTTGTCATGCATACATGTGTTTCTAAATGCATTTTACATTTTCTCTCTCAAATGAGTTCCCATCTCTCCACCAGTAAGAGACTTCGGAAGTAAAATTTTCGGAAGAAAAATCAACCCCAGCATTTCTAAAAATGGGAAATCCTAGCTTAACTGAAGTGTTCACTTAGTGGAATTAGCCTACTGGCTTTTCAATAAGTCAAAAAATGTCCTCTAAAAGATTCCAAAGATAAGAGTATTTTCTACTTTGTTAAGCTGTTCAAGCAGGCAGGGCATTCCCTCTGCCCACAAGGATCTTTTTATCCGGTTACAGCACAGTAACTTGAAAGGCTGCTACAAATGGAGCCTCTCTTGACCCTTCACCTACTTATTGTAGCTGCCCAAATTGGGCTGATGTCTGTCAAGGCTCCTGAAGGGAGGGCAGGGATTTGTCTGTTCAATTTAATTCAACATTTATTTAGTGCCTGCTGTGTGCAAGACACCAAACTAGAAACTTTGAAGAATGTTAAAATTATTAGGTCCTGTTCTTTGACTTTTGTGCATTTATAATCTATAATTAGGAAGGGGGGAGGTAAAAGGGAAAAAAAAGGAGCAAATACAAAGAGTATCATATTTTTAAAACATTATGTGGCAAAAATGCTAAATACAATACTAAATTAAAAAAAAAACCCAGATTTCTAAAAATTCTGTTCACGAGCAGTATATAAATTAATTCAGTGCTTGCCCTTAATACGTAATCCAGTCTAAAGACACATGTTTAGAAATCAACAAGGGTTTTACCATGTCTCTAAATTCTATGCCTTACCTGTTATTTTATCTCTTTCTGAGACCTCTGAGAAAAAAATCTGAAAGCTGAGAAAGTGAGCACAAGGAAAATACTCTTTCAAACATATGTCAGCATCAAGGTTGCACAATAATATCAATGTACTTAATAATCGACCTGCATGCTTAAAAATGGGTAAGATGGTAAATATTAGGTATATTTTACCACAATAATGAAATCTTGAAAGGTAAATAAGCATCGAGATCTTTTTTGGGAGAAAAAGGAAAAATGCAGAAGATGCTTTAGAGGGATGAGAATATTTGAAATTGTAGATAAAAATCAACTTTGAACTTTGTTGTTGCAGATTCGAACATCAGTGACCACGCTCTTATTTCCCAAAAGACCCTTCAGTTGGATAAGACATTTCTTGATTGCAGCCATACTTCTTGCACTGAATAATGTTTTGGTCATCCTTGTGCCAACTATAAAATATATCTTTGGATTCATAGGTAAGTTTGAGAAAAGCTTTTATTTAGTCAGCTTGGGCTGATACCTAAAGGGCAGACAGGGAGCCGGTGGATGGGAGGTCAAGGACCCCTCGTCCATCTTAGGCTCATGGGATTCCTATTAGCCCAGCTGGGCTCCAGCTTGTCACCTCCCCTCCCTCACAGGTGACTCTGGAATTTATTCATAGGATCAGGAAAAAAAAACAAAAAACCTTAGAGGCCATCTAATCCAGCTGCCTTTTCTGACAGATAGGAAATTGAGCCCCATAGAAGTCAAGTCATATACAGCTTCTCCACCCACCCCCATCCAAAAGTCGAGCATTCCTATGAAATCTTTTGTAAGCATAAAAGGCGTAAAGCAAGAAGCAATTACCATTCATTTATATGGGAAAATTTTTGAGCATCCCAGACACAAAAAATAACCTCCTTGGGCTTTTCTGATACCTTAGGATACATATTGATAACAAATGCAGAAAGTAAATTGAGATAAAACAAAAAAAAAACAAAACAAAACAACAACAACAACAAAAAACACGGATATTCAGACATAGTTCAAAAGCTATGAGAGCTTAATGCCAAGATGGAGTGTAGCTCCCAGGGAGAGAACTTGGTGACACCACTCCTGCTGCTCAGGGTGCGCTGCCTCTATTCACATTCACTGCAGAACAAAGTCTGAAGGCTCTTTTCGCTTTTTTGCCTTTTTTTCTGAAAGGCAAAAATCCTCTTCAGATTTCTTTCAGTTAGTGAAAATGGGTACTAATGTAGGTCTTTCCTAAAAGCGAAGTGGCATAACATGAACTTTCAAAATTGGGGAATACCTGTGACTTGGAGTAGATCCAGGGTTTGGATTTAGGTCTTAAAGCTGCATCAAACAGTAAGGAAGACAGATTTTTATCTACAGGATGCTCTCTCAGCTCTGTCAGCATCAGCTGAGCATTGACGGTGGTCTTTGGAGGTGGAGGAGGTTGGTCTTATAAAGCGTATTCTCTTTTAACTGTGTAGCCTGTTAATTCAGTTTTCATCTCCTGATTGGAGGGACTACTCAAATTTTAAATACAATATTAAATTTTTTAAAAAATTAGGTGTGAGCCACTTGAAAAGCTAGAAGTGGATAGGAAGGGTATGTGATGAGCTCAGCTTCCTTAGTAGGTGTTTATATTATCAATTTCCTTTGAATTTTTAACAGGCGGCCTTTTATTGTTAATTGTAAGTTATGTGCACTTAGGATGCAACCATGACTTTAGGTATATTTTAAATTTTCTTGATAAACAGATATTTGAATAAGCAACCAAGACGAGTTGACGGTACTTTTAGTGCTAACATTAGGGTAATGTTAGATTTGGTTTCTTTAAAGTGCGTGACCTTGGGTCTCTGCCTTGCTGAGTAAGACATTGACCTGTCCTTTGCTTCTCTCCTCAGGGGCTTCTTCAGCCACTATGCTGATCTTCATTCTTCCAGCAGTGTTTTATCTTAAACTTGTCAAGAAAGAACCACTTAGGTCGCCACAAAAGGTTGGGGTAAGTAAGGCTTGCAATTTCCGCCATTTTAAGTTGCTCTTCGACTACTTAGAGTAAAACAGAAAATACACGATTCAAAAAAATTGGTGAAGGAGAACCAAAAATCAGAGATGGGCTGGAACTCTAGTGGAGAGAAAGCGGGGTGGATTTCTGGTACTGAGATGATTCCAGGAGTTCTTCCTTTCTTATTATCGAGTATCTTGTGTTGAGTCCTTCCTACCTGTCAAACACTAATGGAGTTTTCCTGCAGGCATACATGTCTACCAGTTTCCACTACCAAGACTGCAGCACTATCTACAGGAAATTATGTGGGAAGGAATTGGGCTCCCTGGCAGTGTTAGGAGATAATTTAAACATCTTTAGTCATATCTGTTAGGTTTGTAAGGCCAAAAGATATTGCTTTGTTTCCCCCTCCATAGTGCCTTGGTGTAGACAGAGATCCAGAACAGAACCATTCCTTTTCCAGTTACTCTCTTTAGATATAAAATATAATATATAAAATATAATCTTATTAAACTAGAGCATGTTTCTTTTCCAAAATGATACTATAGAAACATATGCCAGAAATAATTGTTTTCCCAATAATTAAATATTATCAATGACTATTTAATAAAGTCTTCCATTTAAGACTGAAAAACAATGCCCCTTAGTGAGTTACACTGAAATTTGCCTGAGAGTCCTTCACCGTTCAGGACTGTTCAGGGACTTCACGACAGTTTGGTATCAAAAATTCCTCCCATCGTCTCACCCCTGAATACCTACCCTCTTTAGTCCAATTTGCTTGGACTTTTAAGCAGTGTGACCTTGGCAGATTACTTGTCCTGTTTGTGACCTGTTCTGAGTTTGACCAGATGTAAAAATGAGTAAAAGTGTCTCCTACGTCCTTTCTAGTGGAAAAAAAAAAAAAAATGGAGGTTGATCTGAGTGGTAATATATATATATAAGGCCTCTTCTAGTGGTGTGTGTGTGTGTGTGTGTGTGTGTGTACACACGTTGCCTTTTTTTTTTAAGGAATGTATGATATAGATGAGGCTTTTGTTTTCATTTTATAAAATTTAATCCTATCATATACACTATGATACGCCCTTCTAGGGCTTGCCTTTTTTCACCTAAAAGATTGTGAGCACACCCAATGTCATTAAATCTTTTTCTGTCACTTGATTTTTAATGATTACAGGGTATTCTATCATTTCAATGTACCAAATCAACCATTTCTTTATTTTGAGGATTTGGGTTAAATCACTCCACTGGATTCACCCTCTTCTCCCAACTCGGGTTCTAAATTCACTGAACTGCTAGGCACGGACAACTGAGCTATAAGAATAATACAATTCAATATGTCAATCAGATTGCTACCTTAGGTAAACAACTTATAAGAGCAAACTGTGCGAAATATGGTTTCTGTGTGCCCTAACAAGTTCTCTCTGATTGACAGGCTTTAATTTTCCTTGTGGTTGGAATCATCTTCATGATTGGAAGCATGGCACTCATTATAATTGACTGGATTTACAATCCCCCAAATTCCAAGCATCACTAACCCAAGGAAAAATACTTTTTCTATTGGAAACGGTTGCAAATTATGCTGCAAAAGACATTTGAGTTCTATTGATTGGAATGTTATTCATAGGAAATAACAGGAGGATTCCAAAGATGTTTATAGTAACATCACCAGGCACCTATGGAAGAGAAAAAGCATCATTTGTGTCAAGAATGGCTGTTTATATGTTTAAAACCTGTGGTGCGCATTGCTACCCATGTTTTCCCAGAGCAGTATAAGAGGATGTATTTTTGCTATTGTGCAAACAGAATAAGGGTAGCTGCAGGTAATGGTCATCAGATAATACCCTTCCCCCTTCCCCCCAAATTACAAAATACTTGTATTCTTGGAACATCAAACAAAAATGCCCTGGTGGCAAAGCTTTCTAACTGCTTAATACCTTCCCCCAATCCAGCACCCAATACTCTGGGTTAATTGAATAACAGAAGCAAAAGGCAGGTCCCTCGAACTGTCCCTGTAAGGTACATGAATGATCAGACAGCAGGCTAGAACATCTTACTCTCGCCAGTAAAGGAATATCTTGCCCATTTTGTTTGTGACATTGAATTAGTGACTTCTTCATTTAATAGATTTTTTGGTAAATGTTAAAACATCTGACTAAACACAGGCATACCTCGTTTTATTGTGCTTAGCAGATACTGAGGGGTTTTTTTTGTTGTTTTTTTTGTTTTGTTTTGTTTTACAAATTGTTTCGCGGCCACCTTGCATGGAGCACCATTTTTCCAACAGCATCTGCTCCCTGTGTGTCTCTGTGTCACATTTTGGTAATTCTCACAGTATTTCAAACTTTTTCATTATTATATTTGTGATGGTGATCTGTGATCAGTGATTAAGACTTGCTGAAAGCTCAGATCTGGTTAGCATTTTTTTGCAATAATGTATTTTAATTAAGGTATGTACTTTTTTTTTTTAGACATAGTAGGATTGCACACTTCGTAGACTATAGTGTAAACATAACTTTTGTATGTACTGGGAAACCAAAAAATCCATTTGACTTGCTTTCTTGTAATATTTGCTTTATTGCCGTGGTCTGGAACTGAACCTGCAATCTCTGAGGTATGCCTGCATGTCTTAGGATCTGTCCCTGTAAGGTACATACATGAATGATCAGACACCAGACTAGAGCACCTTATTGTCAACAGTAAAGGAATGTCTTGCCCATTCTGTTTGTGACATTAAATGAGTGCCTTCTTCGTTCAATATATATATTTTTTTAATAAACGTTAAAACATCTTGCTAAACAGAGAGAGGGGCTTTATTTAAATGATAGAGCAACAACAAAAATAATGCTTATTGCTAAACTGCCTGTTCTGGAAGCGTTTGCTTTTCAATATTATTCCTAGTCCTCTTGTCATGCTTTTGTCATTGAACAATGCTCTCCCTCTCGTCTTCCATTGTCATCCAGAATTTTTAGATAGACCACAATTCATGTGGAGCTACATTACCCAGTATTGTTTGATACATTTTTATTTGATAAACATTCAGTGCAGGAAACTGTGATTGCTATATGTTTATGTATATAATCTTATTCTGTAGTCCTCTGAACTTTAATGTATGGTACATTTGATTTTTATTTTTTACATGTGTAGCTTTCTCTCTTCACAGTCAAAATGTTTATACTATTGAGGGTGGGGGCAGGGAATTAAGTTGATGGACTCAGAAATCCATTTGTATGTATCTGTCTATTGAGGATATTTTAAATTTGAAACCTAAGTTATATATAGTTCAGTAATGCTCTCCAATGTTTACAATAATAACACAATCATCCACAGGAAAATAAGTTCCTTGTTTGCAAATAATTATCAGTACTAAGGTTGTTCTTTTAACTTAGCATGTCTACATAGGATTTAGTTCATTTTGGTTTGCACAGGAGTTTGCTGACATTCATTTGTCATTTAACACAATGTTAAATGGCTTTCCATAAAAACAGAAGTGCTAACACTACAGAGAGATGAAAACTATTATTCTTGATCACTTCTGCAACACACTTACATGAAATGGATTTAAAAACTAGCACTCACTGCCTAGAATTTCTGGAGTTTGCCACCTTCCCCCTCCAAGTCAGTAGCAAGAACATTTATTGTATATTTTTATATTTTAGTAAAGCCAAGTATGAAATACAAGTATCATATCAGTGTAATATTAAATCATATTTCAATAGTTGCTTTGGAATGTGCCTTAATATACATTTGTTTTATGTATCATTTTCTAAAGGCATAATACTGTCAAATGGTGCACTTTGTTATGGAAATTGAGCATTACTAGAAACTATCATAACTTTTGAGTCATTATTATAACTTGCCAAAGAGCATCTTCAAGATAGGTTTCCATTTATGTTCACCTAAAGAGTGTATCAAAATAGAAAGTGGAAAAAGGTACCTTCTGAGTATTAAAACAAAAAGAAAAAAAGGTTTAATCTGAATGTCTGTAAATGTAAATATCAAAGATTAATTCAAAAGAATCGGGAAAGTATAAAATTTGTATGTATTTTGAAATGACTAACTTGAAAATATCGACCTCTGTAATTATACAGATATTCAAGAGCAATACTACTGTGCCAAATAATGAAGCACCATTTTTCTTCTCATGGCCATTTTCAGGATTAGAACTCACACAGACTGCAGGGCAGACTTACATATGGTATCTTGTACCGGTTAATTTAACCCCATTTATGAACAGATAAAAATTTTATTTTCTTATTTCATTTATAAGATGGTTCAATGTACTGGGAGGCTTTTTTTTTATTACAGAAAGTGTATATTGGTATATAATAAATGAACTTTTCAAATGACTATGATTTGATTTTTTTTCTGTTGTTGAAAGCTATAAATTATTTGTACATGAAAAACATCTCAAGTCTAAATATGGTCTTCCGTCTATTGGCATATGTTCCATTTTCATTGTTACTCTTGACATGTAAATAACCTTGATAGCTGTCACCAAGAAAAATAGTTGCCATCTTCTTTTGGCAAAATACACAGCTAATCCTCATTTTCATTTATGTCATCACATACATACCTCCTAGAATGGATGTGGGAAAATGTGTCTCTTTATGGTTAATTAGGGAGAATTCACTTGGGATGAAACAAGAATAGAAGAAATATGAAAGTAGTCAAATAAAGACATGGAAGATGTGGAAGAAGGAAAGCAACGTGGGAGTGCAGAGGATTGGGTCGAGACTGACTGGTGGTGGGACTGACAGTCCCTGTACTAAGTTATGCGCCTGACTTTCTAGGAAACTTCCAAGTAGTTCTCCAGAGTGTTTCCACCATTTTCATTTACCAAGAATATATATGGGCTCCAGTTGTTTCACAGCTTTGCCAACACTGGGCATTGTACTTTATAGCCTTTCCCGTGGGTGGGAAATGGTATCTCTTTGTGATTTTCATTCCATTTCCCCGGTGACTAGTGTTGGAAATTTCCCGTGTGTTTCATGGCCATTCAGGTTTCCTTTTGTGAAGTGTCTTTTCCAGTCTTTCACCCATTTTAAGAATGAGGTTGTTTGTCTTTGTATTGTGGATGTGTCAGCTCTTTATATATTCCCGACGCATGTCCTTTGTCAGATGGCAAATATATTTTCTCAGGCTAGGACATGCCTACTCATTTGCTGAATGGTATCTTAATTCTATCTTTCTGGGGCCATGTCTTTATAGCTTAAAGCTCTGTAATTCCTGTCTTACTGAGATAAAATTAATTAGGATGGTATTGTTATAATTAATGTTTAGATTTTCAAATAGGAGAGTAAGTCTTCTTTTTCTCTTTTTTTGGGGTGGGGGTGGGTGGTATGTGTTCTTGCCTTGTAGTCAGCTTTACTGAATACATGTGAATATCATTCTTGTTTTATAGATTACAGGTAATGGACTAAAAATAGCCTTTGCTAAGTCACTTTGACTCTTGGTTAGGAGGCCCAGTCCTACTTACATAGGCCCAGGACCTCAAAAGCCCTTTGTGGCTGCTTGTAATCAACTTCATCAGTTTCCTCAGCCCTTGTTATAGGCACATCCAGATGAAGCAGAAGAAATCACTCCATGCGGGTCTTATGCACCAGCTTGGAAGTTGTATCATTTCCTCTTGACTCTGTTCTCATCCATGTGGGAAGCTGTTCGCAGGGCCTTTGCTTCTATGGCATGTACTCTCGTGACTATCTTTTCCCAAGAAAATATTGGGTACTAATTATTCAATAGACCATATTGAAGAAACTGAAAAAAAAAATCAGTTTAGAGCCTTTCTTCACACCACACAGCAAAGTGGAAAAACGAAATAAGAAAGGCAATACATAAGCAACAGCATTTTAGGAAGAACGACGTGACAGCTGCCTGAGGGAGTAAGACACGGTGGAGGAAATTACAAGGCCAACAATGGATCATGGGACTATACAGCAGTATATTAGAGCAATTAACAAAACACCAGCTCCTATAAAATACAGGCCAACATGTCCTTAATGTAGGAAGATATAAAAACCAAGAAGGGAACTATTAAGAATCTAATAGATGAATGGGCAATGGATATGAGATCACTGAAGAAAAATAAATTGTTTGATCTCACTAGGAGTCAAAGACATGCAAGTAGGGGCGCCTGGGTGGCTCAGTCGTTAAGCGTCTGCCTTCAGCTCAGGTCATGATCCCAGGGTCCTGGGATCGAGCCCCACATCGGGCTCCCTGCTCCGCGGGAGGCCTGCTTCTCCCTCTCCCACTCCCCCTGCTTGTGTTCCCTCTCTCGCTGTGTCTCTCTCTGTCAAATAAATAAATAAAATCTTAAAAAAAAATAAAAAAAAAAGACATGCAAGTAAAAACACAAGTACAATGGTTTTGTCTTACTAAATAAGAAAATTTTTTTTCTAAAATAAGAAAAGTTAATCCTTTGTGCTGGTGAGTGTGCGGAGCTGAACACTTATTCAATGCTGGTGGCAGAAATCTTGGCTCCGCGTCCCTGGAAAGCATGCTGGCAACACTTGAAGATCCCTAAGGATGTTTGTAGTAAGGAGAACAGTCCCCCAAAGATCTAATCACATGAGCCCTCAAAATCAGAGAACTTTCTTCACCTGAAGTCAGAAAGAGTCAAAGCATAAGAGGGACTCAAACTGCCACTGCAGGGCTTAAAGATAGAAGAGACCATGTGGAAACAGAAGGAAAGGAGTTCTGCCAACAACTTAAATGAGCCAAGAAAATGGTTCTCCTCCTGAGCCTCCAGCTAGGAGCCCAGGGCACCACCACTTCGATCTGAAGCTTGAGAGACCTTAAGCAGAGTACTCTGCTAAGCCAGCCAGACTTCTGACCTCCAGATCTGAGAAGTAATGAAGGAGTGCTGTTTTAAGCTCCTAAATTTGTGAAAATTTGTTACCGCAACAGGAAACTAGGAAATACAATGTTCATGGTTTTTGATCCACTAACTTCTTTTCTAAGAATCTATTCTTAGGAAGAAATCAGAGAAGTGAATTCACTTATGTCCACTAATGTATTCTTTCACCATATAATGAGCTACATTTTTGAAGCATTCCAAATGTCCAAAACTGTGGAATGACTGAATAAATTCTAAGACCTTCATAGGCTGGAATAGGACATAGCCATTAAAAATGTTTTTGACTAGGGATGCCTGGGTGGCTCAGTCGGTTAAACGTTTGCCTTTGGCTCAGGTCATGATCTCTGGGTCCTGGGGTTGAGTCCTGCATTGAGTTCCTTGCTCATCAGGGAGCCTGCTTCTCCCTCTGCCTGCCGCTCCCCGTTTTTGTGCTCTCTCTTTCTGATAAATAAATAAAAATCTTTTAAAAAAAGGTTTTGAATAATCACCAATAAAATGAAAAACTATAGTATAACATTAAAGTGGAAAAAAAACGGGGTGCCTGGGTGGCTCAGTCATTAAGCGTCTGCCTTCAGCTCAGGTCATGATCCCAGGGTCCTGGGATCAAGCCCCACATCAGGCTCCCTGCTCAGCAGGAAGCCTGCTTCTCCTTCTCCCACTCCCCCTGCTTGTGTTCCCTCTCATGTTCCCTCTCTCACTGTGTCTCTGTCAAATAAATAAATAAAATCTTTTTAAAAAAGTGGAAAAAACAAGAACAAATGCTTCATTATACCAGTTTTACATATTAAAAAATGCATGGAATAGAAAAATAGAAATAGGAAGAAAGGAAATAGACATAAATGATAAAAATAGATATCCTAGGTAGCAAGATAATAAGTGATGTCAGTCTTCATCCTCCAATATTTCTGTTATTTTCTAAATTTTTTACAGAGACTATATATTCTTTTATAGTTATAAAAAATGTAGAGAAACATTTTTCTATCAATTTATATTTTCTGGAAAAAACTAAAACATGCTGCCAATTTCTATACATTTTTATATTTTCAGCTGAGTCCAAAGGCAGAATTGGATGAGAGTATGATTCACAATTAGGGAACAGTCATTGATGACTGAAGCAGAAGCTGAAAGGATGGGGCAGCACCTCTCCAGAGGTGGGGCATGTGAAGGACTTAAAGAAGAATGGGGTAGCATAGCCAGTAGACCAGAATTTCAGATCCATTCTTTGGGCAAGTCATTTAATTTTATTGAGCTTCAGTTTTTTTCCTTTCTGTTGGTATAATTTCTGTGTGATGCAATTCCCAAGATGATTTAGCTTGGAATTCATTGGAAATTAGAAAGCCCTTATAGCATAGTCACATCTCTAGTACAAATGCTTGATAGTCATAAGTCAAGGATCACCGGAGAGCTCCAAAGCACCTTGCAGCAATAACGTCCTGAACGTGAGTTAGATTAAGTCAAATGCTTCTGGGGAATACTCCGCCTTGCCACTCAGGCAGAATAATTTTAAAGGACATTCAGTGTAAACCATGCATCAGATACTGTCCTAGGCACAAGAATACAGAGTAGTCCTTGTTTTTAAGGAGCTTATAGTATAGAGGAGGGGGCACATGTATCAAATACTTATAATATCAAATGGTAAATGTTCTACTATATACTCAGGATTCCATGGAGCCTCTAAGGGGAATGCTCAAATCAAGCTTGGGGAAAGAAGAGTAGTCAGATTTCAGGCAGCAGATGCCCATTTAGTTGAATCCTAAAGGACACACTGAAGTTGTAAGGCAAGAAGATGGAGAAGCAGAGCGGCATGGACAAAAACATGATTCCTCCCATGACTCTCCACTCCACACATACACAGACACATATATGCATACACCTTCCACACACTCTGTATTAGATTCCTTTTGCTGCTGTAACAAATCACCACACACTTAGTAACTTAAAAGAACACATTTTATTATCTTACAGGCAGCTCCAGCAGGGATCACTAGAAACCCCAGCAAAATCATATAAACCAAGCAGACCAAGTAAAACAACAAAGATTCTTAAAATTAAACTGATTAGTACTATGGCCAGAAAGTAGGCCAAGACGTGTGTGCCAAATCTAAACAGAGTGACTGCTTGCTACAATAAGAGATTTTAATAGAATGTCTGATAAACAATTGAAAACCATCCACCATACCAAGAACCAAGAAAATTACAACTTGAATAAGATAAACTGATGTGAACACTGGGATAAATCAGATATTCAAATTACCTAGCAAGAATTTTAAAGTAGGCATCCTAAAATTGCTTCAATAATCAAATTATAAGTTCTCATGAAACAAATGAAAAAATAGAACATCCCACAAAGACACTGAAGCTTACAAGAAGAGAATCAACTGGAAATTATAAACTGAAAAATATAACAGAAATTTAAAGAAAAATTCATTGGCTGTGCTCAGAATGGAGATGGAGAATTAGAATCAGCATACCTGAGTAAGTATCAATAGAATTC